CTGCTAACACTTCAGATAGGCAAGTATCATTGAAACTGAAAGTTCATTAGAAACAATAATAGGTCAGCAAAAGACTATTTGTCCATAATAGTTTGTTACTTACGGTCCTCAAATCATCTTGGAAGATTTCTCTTGCTTCCTCCCATGAACATTTCTCTTCTTGGCATTCCCGCTCAAGTGATCCTGCCTTAAGCTCCTCTAAGAAATAATTGGCTCTCCTAGATCTTTGTAAGAGGTTGCTGGCTTCCTTGTGCCTTAAGAAAACTTTAAAATAGAAATAATGAGCAAGCTGCATTCATCAGACTGAAGTGTACCACCATCCCACCAGAAATCACATATCCTATCTTAACATCCATTTCAGTGGGCAAAGTGATTCTCATCTGAAAAGGTTTTCAACATTTAGTGTGAGATATTCACATCATTTCAGTGCTAGCTCAGTGTCCTCTAATGCTGCTTGTCTGCATCATTTTCCTTGCCTGTTCACCTGAAGGCAGTAGAAATCTCCATGACCCCGTCTTCTGTCTACTTTTTAACAGTAAAGTTATACTATACAACACATACATCACCAATCAGATTAAATGGCAGTGATGATGGTAGTCATTGTGATTAGGTCTAGCAGTAATTCTTCAACTAAAAAAAATCCTTTCTTGTCTGGGATGGTCAACTTTTCCTTAATCCTATGAAGTGGACTGTACAGAATAAAGTTAGGTTGGCTTTTAGGCAATCCCAGTGTATAGAAAATAATTCTTTTAAAACAGGAAGCTTCCCTCTCTTTTCATACAACTGAGCTAATTCTCTATCTTGCATCATATTTCAAAACAATTAGCTCAGGAACATCCAGGAGTGTCCAAGAAATACAAATCTAAATCTCTCTTGGATTTACTGAAGCAATTATTTATTTTGTAGAACCATTAGATATTAAAAGGAATCCATGTATCCTCTGTATAACCATTTAAAAAGTCTTTTCAATATTTCTCCCACAATTTTATGATTTAAATTTTCTGCTTCAAGGACTTAAGAATCTAGGAACCATCCTTCTGAGTAGGCCAAAGTTCTTCATAGAGCAGCATTTTCTTTCTCACTGTAGCCAACCAGAAGCCTCTTGGGTGCTCACAAACAGGAGACAGATAATATAGCCCTTCCCCACTAATGTTCCTCTGCCACTGATATTTGAAGGCACGCTGGCTCCAATCAAGAGGTAACATTGACATTTCAAATCTAGTAGCCCTTGATAGTCCTGTCCTCCATTATTTCCTTGATTGAAAGACCATTAGGCAGTAGGGCTGTATTTTTAAATTCTGCCAAGGAAAGCATACAGGAATTTTAAAAATAACCAGTTAATACAATGAAGACATTATTAATGTTTATTGTATTTTACATTTACTAACTGGGAACTAAGTTGTATTTAGATGAAATGAAAAATGGACCATGCTTTACTTGTTTCATTTTTGTTTGTGTCATTCTTTAAATTTTCCTGATAAAGATGACTTTGAATATATTGTACACAATTTAAATGATGAAGAATGGAAAATGACTTGGTTTTAATTTGTGACTTTAAAATGAAAGAATGAATCTACAGCTAGGCTTGTGTCATTATTTTGATGCAAAGAATAAAACCACATCATGTTTACTATAAATTCCCTTCTTGAAAATAGATACTACAAAGAGATTTTTGTTCACTCTGGAAGTCTTTTATAATAATGCTTCATAAATTGATTACAGAAAAATTAAGATATAAAATGCTAAATATTTAAATACATTGTATAACATTTCTGTTTAGATGTGTTTCTTCATACTAAAATATCTGCAATATACAACAATCAGAACATTTATTTCAAGAATGGTTCAACTTGCTACTTTTTGATTTTGATTTTTGATTTTGATTTTATTAAATTTATACCCCGCCCTTCTCCCGGAGGACTCAGGGCGGCTTACAGCCAGTTTAAAACAATGGTACAATACAATACAAAATTTAAAAAGATTAAAAATAACTATTTAAATTTGGCCGCTTCTACTAAAAATTTAATTAAAAACCCCTTTAAAATACCCCTAGGCCAGTCCTGCCTGCTAAAATCTTGTTCTTGGAATGTGACTGCTGAGTTGAGGCATTAAAATCTGATTTACTAAATATCTTAAGTATAGATTTTCTAAGACATTGAACACTATTGCATAACAATTGGATTATAGAAAACAAGGCAAGCATTTAATAATTAATTCATGACTGCAACAAACATTTTCAGATGTATCATACCTGAAGCCCTTGCAATGGGAGATGCAAGCAAAAGAAGGCAAAGCAAAACACCGAAGTGGCAGGAAATCATGATGAAACCAAAATGTTGTGTCCAAATAGTGTACTGATATTTCAGCAAGGACTCTGAGAGCAAAGTTCTCTGTTTCAACGCTTCAGTTGGAGGAGGGGTGAAGAAGAAAAAGCTCCAAAACCCTAACACTGGCTCTGGCACACCAGATAGGCCAAAAGAAGGGGACGGAAAAATCAGGTTTCAAATTCCGGTAGACGCAAAATAGGCAGGTTTGATTGATTAGTGCGACATCTTCTCACTATTAGTTTGATATTTATCCTGCCATTTGACCCGTAGTGCTTAGAAGACATTGCCAGGAACAGTAAAACAAAACACAATATACTTAGAAATATCTAATTGCATTTTAAATAAACAAGTAGATAAAATCAAATGGAAGAAAGCTTGAAATCACCAGAGTAAACAGGAGAATTATTTGAAATAGAAACAACAGAGCATTATAAGACTTAGTATTTGATGATAAAAGGGAAAAACCTGGAGGGATAATGGGGCAGGGTGTTCAAAGGAGGTGGTTAAAGAAGTCACAAGTGATACACATAAAAAAACTAACAACACCAGGCAGTGTTTTGATTACACCATGGTGGCTACCATCTTTACTTTTTTGGGCCATTTTATTTATTTATTTGTTTATTTATTTAACTTGCAGACACCCCCGAAGACGGAGTTCTGAACCTCAAAGAATCTCAGCTCCTTATTTGGTGACACTAACACTGTTCTGATTTATTTCATGTACAGTAACAGTTCAATTCTATTTCCCTGGCATAATTTTGTTAGTTTATAATTCTCAACACACCCTGAATATCTCATTCAGTTTTTTTTAAATTTTATGTAAAATAAATATTAATTACTTTATTAACTGGTAGAAGTCTGGCCAATAAGCATAATAAAGAATCCTTATTTTACCACCCAAGACTGAAATATTACTTGAAATATTACAGGTGTGGATAAGTCCCTCATGTGAAATTATCAATACTGGTGAGGCCCAGACTCACCTAATGAGTGGCTGGACAAGAGGTTAATCACACATATTTTCTGAATTTAAAGATGCTGTGGGTTTTTTTTGGTTAAGATTGGAAAGACTGCTCATTTTGGAATGGAGGAAAATATTTGGCAAGTATAGAAAACAGACCAATAATAGTTTCCTGAAAAAATTGTGTGCATGATACAAGATGTGAGGAGAGAATTTCTGCAAAAGAGAAAAGAGGAAGTATGACTTGCTGAGTTATAAAAATTTGGAAACGTTTCAACGATATCATTCTGGCCTGTCCCCCCTGTTCTGATGTTGCAGCAATAGCTGCAAAAGCTTATGGAGAACATGTATTTTCTCCATTTTATCTGATAAATTACATATTTTTAAATAATTTGGAACTTCTTTGGGTTTTAATTTTAAGAAACAGCCCTTAAATGCAATCCAGGAACTGAGCTTTACCTATTATCTATTCTCCTAATTAAAATGACTCCTTTAGCTTTTTTATTTGTAGTCCCCACAAAACAAGTAAACTTGAGAGATGGAGATCTTTCATTTAGAAAAAAAAGCAGAGACCTGGGACGATTCTCATTCCACTGAATGCTGAATAGTCTTTTATGCTGAATGGTCTTCTATGGCCATGTTTCTGAACTTTGGCTACCTGAAAATGTATAGACTTCAATTTTCCACAGCTGGCAGAGCAATTGTGGGAGTTGAAATCCACACATCTTCAACTGGCCAAGGCTGAGAAATCCTGCTCTCTGCATTATTTTTTTATATTCAATTTTTTTAACCTGCCTTTATTATTTTTATAAATAATGCAAGGAAGTGAACATACCTAACACTCTTTTCCTCCCGTTTCCCCCCCCTAAAACAGCAACTTTGTGAGATGAGTTGGGATGACAGAGTATGACTGGTCCAAAATCGCCCCACCAGCTTTCATGTCTAAAGCAGGACTAGAACTCACAAATTCCAGGCTTCTATCTTAGTGCCTAAACCACTGGCTCTATAATCCCTTCATAATCCCTCATAACTTTCAGATAACCCACATCATAACTAGTTTGGCTTTGATACAAGTCCTGGTAGAAGACAAAGGAACATGTTAAACATAAAGTTATACACATATTAGGAATTATTTCTTTCTTATTCTGAAGTCTCAATATTAGTGGTCCAAAAGAAAATAAATATCAAGTTATAACATTCTTATTATTTTCAAATCCAACTAGGTTTAGACAGAATCCAACTGAAAGTGGTAACTGCCATTAATAGACAGCTTTGTTAGACACTGATTTGTAGCTTCTATTAGATATGATAATTTTACTCTATTTGTTCCGGCTGTTTAATCTACAAGAAACTCATTTACATGATATTTACCAATTAATCAAATCTAATTTAATTCCTGTATTGTTGAACAGTATTTTCTCCCTGAATATGTTAGAAATATAGCCAGTTTTGCATCTTACAAGTCCCCACAAAGTGACATTTTTTCTTTTGCAAATCATTTCTCAACATATATTCCCACAATTTTTATCCAGATATTTTTCTGCAACTAATTATCATATGGCAGTGATTTCCACACCAATTCCTTGCTCAGGTATTAGACTAATAAAACTGGGAATGGTCAGGACAGAAAAAATCAGTTAGATAACCATTGCTTCTCTGTTTTAACCAGATTTTAATTTAAATTTCAATTACATAATTGTAGAATTCTGTAAAAACAATGATGTTGGATGGGCTCTTAGAGGCCTACACATCAGTAGATTACAGATCAGTTGTTAGAACTCTGTCAAATGTCTTAAGCTGGCAATACATATCTTGTTTCTCTTTTCTAAAGTCAAGTTTTACCATGGAAAACTAGAAACAAAAACTAAGCTTTGACGGATTGTAGTGGTAATACGGAAGACCAGTTATTTTAAGGAGTTTAATGACACATTTTGATTTCTTCCTATTAATAAAAGTGTGGAAGTTTAGAGCTCATTTTGAGCTAACCTGTTTTATTTTTTATTCTTGTTTATTGCATACAGGAGAAGGGTAGGGGATCTTCATGTAGTTGCAAAGCTTTTCTTATTGTGAAAGTCTTAGACTTTCGATTCCCATGCCAGTCATGTGCCACCCAGTCAAGATCAGGTCTGTAGTCTCATGACTATAATCATGGCGCCATGTTTAATAAAAACCTTGAGGCTGTTGTTTATTGGGAGCTTCTGCACGGGGCCTAACATGGGATACTCTGGAATTTGGTCACCCTTGGAGTATCTCTGCTGTTATTAAGGAGTTCTTGGCAGCTTGTAAGATATTTGGGTATCATCTTGTTTGATCTGTATGCTTTTTATGTTATGCTTTTAAATGAGTTAATAATAAAGCTTAAAATCCATTTATTTACTGGTATGCTTATTGTCCCAAGGGCCTGGGCACCTGATCATTGCCCTCACACTTGGTAAAATACAAATTTATATTGTAAAGTAAGTGGTTTTGAGGAAAGGGGAGTAGACAGTCTTGAAATGCTGCCTTATGAACAGAGACTATAAAGGCTTTGTCTTGTTTTACACCCATTATGAGTGCAATTGGATTTACTGCACCAATTCAATTTTCTGTTTGTGCCAAGAAACAAAACAAAATCAAAATAATACACCCATGAGTGCGTGTGCGCGTGCACACACACACACATCTCTATACGTTCAGACCAACCAACAAGTAATGTTTAAATTTATTCAAAGTTTCATACATACAATAAGGATACTGGATTCAGTAGTAGTAATTTACATCAGCAGTAGAAAATTGAAATATTGGCTATTAAAGTGCAATGATACATGTACAAGCACATGAAATGACACTGGGAAGTATAAAATAAACAGGGTTTGATAGGAGAGCCTTCTGCAGAGCTTTATTTCCCTGCGGTAGCTCTTTACAGAAGTCAATGATAACCAACCATTTTATACATATTAAGTAGTCACTTACTGTTTCCCAAGCCAAAGCAGATTGGCAGAGGGAGGAAGCGATAAGCCCTATGTATGAACTTCAGCATTACATTCTTCCTTCTCAGTCAATGTTGTAAATAAAAAAGTTTCTTTTCTATTTTTTGTTACACTCATATTTACAAAATAAGTTATAAAGAATATTGCTAGTAGATTAGCAGAACAGAGCCAGTGCTGACTTTGCTAGCATGGCCCCATTTTCTGAGAAGGTTCAGAGAGAGATAATTTTATGTTGAAAGTGTATTGATTAAAGCCTTGGAAAGACTGCACACTGATGCCTTTAAAAAAGTTGAAATGCAAAGACTGGAAAATTATAAATAGATATTTTTACATTAATACATAACACAGAGATATATAAACAGGCTTACAAAAATAATATTTTGGTGTACTAACCAGAGTTAGCTGCAGTAGATGGTAATGTTGGCCTGGAACTTTCCTGACATTTGGAACAATCAAAGTCAGTGGTTATACCGTATATCCAGAGCCAAAACCCAGATAAACTGTTATGTTTTTACTGTTTTCATAAATATTGAAAGTCAAACATTCATTTCCACATAACACCAGCATGAGCTGTAAATTAATTCAGATGATGGGTGAATCCAGCATGGTTTAAATGTGGTTTTAAGTAGTCCTTCCTTTGGCAAGATAGATTTATGAACCATTTTCTTAGAAGAAATTGTTTGTACAAAATCATTCTATTTCACACAAAGAAAGTAAAATACTTAAGAATTTCTTTCCTATTCTTGTTGTGTGATGCCTTCAGTTTTGCAACAAACTGAATAAAAAAAAAGTAGCAGCAGGGTTTCAGTCACACAGAGAATTAGAAAATTCTGAAATGATTGGACAAATTTTGGCCTAGCTGCAAGAACAGAGGACAATTTTGTGACATTGCAGTATCATCTTAACTAATAAAAAAATGGATTTCAATGTTTTTACTTCTTTTTTTACAAAGATTTTTAAGACCAAATAACTACTAAATTATCATAATTTCATAAACAACAGTAATTGGTCACAAAATTTGATTCAGTGTTAAAAATATCTCAAATTATTAATTTTGTTCATCATGGCTAAAGGAAATGCCACGGAAAATGAAGTTAGAAAATAATTACTATATCAAATTAGCAAGTACCCAACTCTGTAATTTCATGCACATTATATTTTGACCCCAGATGTTTTTTATTCATTTATTTATGAGGATCAAGTTTTTTAGTTGTTGTTTTCTACATTCTATATTAATTTAATTATTGTTTTAACTAGTCAGATTTACACAATGGAAACTACTAGCTGCTGGTAATATTCTTCCCAGGTTATCCATGCCAAGGTCCATTTCATTCTCGAAGAGTGATAGGTTTCTATGATGCAGCTTCCAAAAGTGTTATTCCCACTAATCCGTTACCAACATATTCAGGTTCTTCAAGAATACCCACTAAACCATCTTTACACACAAGAGGAACAACTGAGAGATGTGCAATTATGATGCTTCTTTACTTCTTTAACATCTGATAGTCACATTGGCAGTTTTAAATCTTCAGAGAGTTGTGGTGGAATTTTCAATTTAACCTTTAGTATCTGAGAAAGTGCTACTACTGACATTGCAACTTTCACTACAACTTGAAGATGAACTCAGTGTACTTGAACCCGCTGTAGATTCTGGAAAAAAAAAAACCCCACACATATATTAACAGAGTATTATACAGTTGGAATTGTATGTATTTCTAAATTGTTTATTGAAATTTTCCCTAAATGTAAAAGAAATGTGCACAAGATAAAACTGAATAAACCATTTCTGCAAAACAATATAGACACACACATTTGTATATTAACCCAAAGAGTACAACATTCCACCTAAGGCAGGGGTGTCAAACTCACAACGTCACGTGACATGTCACGACATATCGCAACTTTTTTTCCATTGCCGGCAATGGGGTGGGCGTGGTTTCGGCATGACGGATCCGGCCCGTAGGCCGGTAGTTTGACACCCCTGACCTAAGGGGAAGGGATACCTAAGCAAAGACACATTTCTTTAAGATATATCATGAAATATATTTGATAAATGAAACTAAATGCAATCATCTGCAAAGTAAATCTTACCTGAGCTGCTGAGAGAGAAAATAGATTTTGAGTTGCTGAGTAACGGTATCAAAATGTTGATAGGAACCCATCCTTCTTTGTTTGTGCTCAAATTCCTAAGATACCTAAAAATACACATATGCTATCAAACTATTTTAAAAACCCAGCATCTGCAAGAAATCATAACATTATGGCTAAATTCAGAAGCAATACAGCCACCCCGTGTTTAGATATAGATGGTATTTGGAATGTAATCTTATATACACTCTGAAGATTCCAGATTTCCAGCTGTGATATGAATTCAAGTCAGAATCTCATTCTCCCATCTCAGACAATATTTTGTCTTGTAAATTCTCTCCTGAATGGTTCTGGCCATGATAGCACCTATATTAAATGCAAATTTAGTTTGAGAGACAAATTGAAAAATTTATTACATTTGTAAATCAGATTAACTTCCCAAGACTCTAGGCCAGTGTTGGCTGTGGAATTCTGGGAGTTGAAGTCCACATGCCTTAAAATTGTCAAGGTTGAGAAACACTGCTCTAGGCTATTTATACTGAATTATTTTAGTTTGTTTTATATTGTATTGTTGTAGTTTTAGCAAAGACTGTTGTTATAATGGGGGGCGGGAGAAGCAATATTCTAAGCTTCTTCAAGATATAATAATAATAATAATAATAATAATAATAATAATAATAATAATAATAATAATAATAATAATAATAATAATAATAATAAAGTTGGAAGGGATCTTGGAGGTCATCGAGTCCAACCCCTGCTCAGGCAGGTAACCCTATACTGTTTTGGACAAATGGCTATCCAGTTTCTTCTTAAAAACTTCCAGTGTTGGAGCATTCACCGCTTCTGGAGGCAGGTTGTTCCATTGGTTAATTGTTCTAAGTGTCAGGAAGTTTCTCCTTAGTTCTAGGTTGCTTCTCTCCTAATCATATATCTAAAATAGTATATATATAATGGGCATATATATATTTCAATATATTTTGTATTAAAATACAATACCAAAGACCATCTGCTCCTTCATGGATTAGCTGAACTACCTCTCCACTGTTCAGGATCAAGCCATTTGAGTTGCCTTTATTATAACTGGTTACAACAGTGTATTTACCAGGAACCTAAATACAAAAATGAGAAACCATAATTGGTTTAATAAGAAATAATCATCTATTAGAACTGTCACAATAAATAGATTGACATTTGGGACATAACTATACAGTGATATCAGTTTAGTTTTTCTACAGTGAAGCTCCCAAATGCAGTCTTCAGGGTTAAATTACAGACTATTTTATAACATTTCAGGATTGTAGCTTTCTCATATATATGATTTTACATTCATACAAGCATCTAAAATTTCAGAACCTTTAAGAAATGTTATAATTATGACTTATAATTATGTTACATTATTAGTAGCTACATTAGAATTGTTCAAAACTATATATAATTCTTTTTTTAATTATTTATTTATTTATTTATTTATTTATTTAATTTAATTTATATGCCGCCCTTCTCCCGACGGGACTCAGGGCGGCGCACAACATACTTAAAACCAAACATATATACAATCCCCCCCTTAAAACCGAATTAAACCAAATTTAGAGTTGCGTCTTTCAAATTCCTAAAAAACCCAGTATAAAATCCACCCTAGGTCAGGTCCGCTTGCTGAAAGAGCCATGTCTTGAGGGCGCGACGGAAGGTAAGGAGATCCGGAATTATCCGAATCTCGGGGGGGTAGTTCGTTCCAGAGGGTGGGGGCACCCACAGAGAAGGCCCTCCCCCTGGGGGTCGCCAGCCAGCACTGCTTGGTCGACGGCACCCTGAGGAGACCCACTCTGTGGGAGCGTACTGGTCTGTGGGAAGGGATCTGCGGCAGAAGGCGGTCTCGGAGGTAACCGGGTCCTATGCCATGAAGCGCTTTAAAGGTGGTAACTAACACCTTAAAGCGCACCTGGAAGGCCACTGGCAACCAGTGCAGCTCGCGCAGCAGCGGTGTCACATGGGAGCGACGAGTCCCTCCCAACACCGCCCGCGCGGCCGCATTCTGGACCATTTGAAGCCTCC